TGACGCTGACTGCAGAGTCACACGAGTGATCCCAGATCAAATGCAAGATCAACCCCCAATAGACAATTGTGAGAAACGCCGGATCATCAAAACACTGCTGGTGGCTCTGCAGTATTCTCCTGTCTGGGAAGACGGTGATTCTCCTGCCTGGGATGGCCTTTTAACACCGAACGAGCAAACCGCGAACGTGAAGAAAGAATGTGCGGAGCAACAACTTCTGTGCGGAGCAACAACTTTGAATAGTACTTCGAATCTAATTTTCACTGTTACCTGAAAACCGCTCTTGCCAAGGTCTCTGATGAGACGAGTCCAAGTGCACCTGCCTGGCCCTTTATACTTTCAAAGTTTCCTTCTCGTCAACACCGGCTTCATGCAGGTACCAGACTTCATTGCAGACTTCTTGACAATCAGGCGCCCAGGGGTTTTACCAGGCTATTTCTTTGTTGGTTTCTATTTGTGTCAGGGCTCAACTTCGACGTGTTTGAACAGCTTTGGGTTGTTGATCTGGATTTGGCTGGGAAGTCAAATCACAGCTTCGATTAAATGGTGGCATTTGATGCAGTTGCAAAGTGAATCAGCAGCTTTGTTCACTTTGTTCATCATGTCAAATATGTTCAGTCTCAAAAGCTTCAACCCTTTGTTATCAGGACCTATTTCACAATGATGCCGGTGTGCAGATTGCCAGGCGACACGGATTGGGAGAGCAAATTTGTACATAAATGATAACCACACAGACACCCAGTGGGAACCATGTCACACATAATAATATGGCTACTATCCAGCTATCCCAGCCACGCCAGCTATCCCAGCTGCTGGTGATTTCACATCTATCCCAGATTTTCCAGCTATCCCAGCTGTGTTGTGCCACTGACTTCCCAGCCAGTTCCAGCCAGGTCAGCCAGGTCCTATTTTGGCGTGGTTGTGCGGGACCTCAATGAAACACTGCGAAACTCTCGGCTGTAGATTTGCAAGGCTGGGAAGCCTTTTGTCAAGGCTGGGAAGCCTATCATTCCACAGAAGCTCCAGCATTCCTACCGTGAGATTTTCAGTTCAAGATTCAACATCAAAAATGAAGAGAAAACATAGCGATGATCTTGAACTGGTCCTTCCAAGCCTGTGCCTAGGCAACAGTTAGCAATCAGATTTCAATTCTATTGCAAATCCACAGCCTTCACTATGTACTATCTCACAGCCCACCCGCATCATCTCAGGCCTCCGTTTGGCTCACCAAAGAACCTGGCCGAGATCAATGAATGGCCATCAAAATTGCTGCAACGGCTTTGTGCTCTTTGGGGAGAACAGGTGGTGAAAAGAAAGCTGCGCTTTTTGGTTGCAGTCTGTTGCGGCTACAATGTGTGAGAAGGATTAAGGAGGAAACGCAGAAACGCATGTCAAATCCAATCAACGCGCGACTAGGCACCTGGTGCCAAACCAAGGCCGTGTCCACTGGTCCGTGCACAGCCTGTTCAGCGGGATTGAATGTGGCCACGAGGCTATGAATGTGCTGAGTTCCGCAATTGCGGAGCGATTCAATTTCAATGTGGATGTGAAATTTGAGTTGATGGCCCTTGGCTCAGACTCCCTGGCATTTACTTATCCAAAAGTTCAATGCAACGCAAGAGAACTGCAAGTCCTATAATTGATCTACTCCAAAAGAATTTGATCTACTATTTTCCAAGGTTGAGAAGAACCAAATTTGCCAGGCCGTGCTTCGGGAACATTTTCCGGACACGTGCCTGATGGGTGACATCATGCAAATGCTTCGAAGGGCGCCTCATGGTGATACATGGACAGCTCCAAAATTGAAGCTAGTAGATGCCTTCTCATGCATCGCGCATCCTTCAAAAGAGAAGCGTCTAGCCTTAAGTTCAGTTGCAGCAATTTTTCACTCAAATCTTTCTCGGGGCAAACAAACAGAGCATTGAAGGTAAGTTGGCTGTTTGGCCTTGTCAGGTGTTGCTTGGTCAAAAACAAGGAGAAGGCCATTACTTTGATGGGGGCTCCATGTGTTTCTCACAGCAAGACCTTCGTCTTCATGCGCAGTAGATTCCGAGTGGGGTTGGTTGGCGTTTGTGTTACATAAAGTGTATGATAGTCGTTTCAAAAAACCGAGGATGGGTCGACAGGATGGTTTTGGCAATCCGATGACGAAGAAACTGCATGATATTGGTGCCCGGTTCATGATTGAAACAGCACTGTGCATCCATGAGAATGTGACAGAGTATCAGGAGGACAACGCGCACAAACTGCTCAGGAATCGTTAATTCAATGGACTATGTACAAACATCATTATCATAAGTTTTCTGAGTTGTCGAGCAATGTGAAAGTGTGACATTCAATGACATTAAATCATTATTATGTGTGTGATCTTTCATTGCATGCGCCAACCCCCTTCCAGGATGAATACCTGTACAACGCGACGCTGTATGATATCCAGAAAGCTGTGCGCCTTGCTCTGGACTTTGTCAAATTACCAGTTGTCAAAAAATGTGTTAAGTTGTTTGTGGAATTTGAGGCTTAGTCCACGTCTCTTTGGTGAGCCCACGAACCGTGACCGTGGATGGAGAATCTTATGGGACCAAGATCGCTTCCGTTGGAATTGCCAGTACTCCTTTCAAGAGCTTGTAGATATTTTGCTCTTGCCTCGTGGTACCCCCTTGACTGTTCAGCCTGCGGTGTTCTTGTTCCAGAAGGATGCTGAATCAATCAGCTTGTCTCCATCAGCTTCCAAGTATCTAAAGCGGTACCACCACATGTGCCCAGAGAAATCTTTTTATGATTTGGGCAGCAATCCGGAGCATAGATGTCGCACAGAGACAGCAGACGGCGCGTTGATGACTCTGACTACAAACTCACACATTTGGTGTCTTGATGGCATAAATAATGAAATATTTATGAGTGCATCGCAGTTAAAGAAGTTGAGAGCCTCACATTTCAATTTTCATCACTTGACGGTCACTCTCTAGGTCAAAGAAAAAGGGGCGCTTCTTCACTGGCAAGGAGATGCTTGCTTCGCTGGGTTATCCAACGAACCCAAGAAGCGCCAATGATCTTGGCACTGACGCTTGCCTGCCCCATGACAAACGAGTCCGACTTGGTGTGAACTTGTTGTACATAGCTCAGGATTTAACTATATTTTGTGGAGTGTTGTATATAATTGATCCTTGATCCTGCTAAGGATGCTCGCCAGGTTTCTGGCTACTCACGATCTGCCACGGTCAAGATGGCTGGCAATGGTATGCATTTGGGGTCAGCAGCTTTTGCATGCTTAATTGCCATGATGTGCCTGACCCCGCTTGATTAAACGGGTCTCAGGAGCATGGCGGGTTGGACCTTAAATTAGCAGTAGCAGTTATGTGAAGTTCGATGCTGGGCATAGAAAGGTACCGGCAATTTGCACACGGCTTTACACGACGCATTTTTGTCACATGATCATCATAGTTCAGTAAGCGGTCTGGGAAGACTGTGTACATGGTCTGGGAAGACCTGTTTGTATCATGTCACGGGTTTGTTTGTCTGGGAAGACTGTGTACATGGTCTGGGAAGACCTGTTTGTATCATGTCACGGGTTTGTTTTCATTGTCTGGGAAGACTGACTGTGTACATGGTCTGGGAAGACCTGTTTGTCTTATGTCACCGGTTTCTTTTCATTGTCTGGGGACTGTGGCATCATGCGCTTCTTTCCATGGTCTGGGAAGACCTTTGCTTCTTACCATGAGTCTTTTGCTTGCGCGCTGGATGCTTCTTGAGAGCTGTTTGATGCACTTAGTGCTTTGGTCTTTCCTGCGCGTGCGTCATGTTTGTCTCGATGATGTCTTTGTTCCTGTGTGAGGCTCACAGCTTATCACACCCTGCCAGGCAAAATGCACAGCTCATCATACCCTCACAGCTTCTTACACAGCTGATCACTAACTGTATCTAACTGTCGTTTGATTTGAACCTGTTGGTGAGCTTGACAAATATCAACTCCACCTCACTGCTTTGGTCTTGGATCACCGACAAGTGTTTTGGGTCTGTGTCACCGACTGCAATTATATTGCTGTCCATGGCGGATTCGGGCGAATGTTTGGAGATGAACCTGAAGAGAAGCCAAAGTCCAGGCTCAGATCTTTGTTCGGAGATGAGCCTGAAGAAAAGCCACGTAGTCGACAACCTTCTGCGCAAGCAAAGTCGCGAAAGGGCCGTGAAGCTCCAGCACCATGTCCTCCACGGCCCATGTTTGGAGATGAGCCTGAGGAGAAGCCAAGATCCGGCGTGAAACGCTATGTGGATGACCAGGTGGAGAAGCCTGCGTCCAGCAGTGGAAAACAATGCGGAGATGAAGAATCGTCTGAAGATGAGAAACCTGAGTTGCCATCTTTATCACTCTCTTTTGGTGCCATGCAGCTTTTTGAAAGAAGCAAGTTTTTGAGCGCCGGCGCAGAAGCTTCAAAGCCTCCAACGAAGAAGCGCGCGTATGACAATTCGAAGCGAGAGGCAAACGCAGCTCCTAAGAAAGAGGATCATTCCTACAGGACCATGGCCCTGAAGCCCAACCGGCTGATTGATTTGATGAACAAACCCAATTGTCAATGTGCCTATGGCTTCACATGGTTGAAGGATTGTCATGTTTGATTTGAATTTGGTTGTTTTCTGGTTGGCACCATTGATGCTTGTCAGCACCACCATTGGCCCCTGGCACCTGCATCAGGTGCGTCCAAGACTTGCTTCAAAGGCCTTGACGTCCAGGAAACACGGTTGTTCTTGGATAAGTTTTGAAGTATGGGAAAACATGGGCAAGATTCTTTTGCTGCTTGAATGCAAAAAGAACTGGCTTCAAGTGATGTCAACAATTGGCTTGTTGGTTGAAGCCTGAGCCATTGGTTGTTGCCAAGTTGCACTCGGTGGTGGGTGGCAACGAGCGCGTCGCGGAGATCAAGTTTCTGGGGAGACCAGTTGGCCGTGTTTGCCTATGCACTTTGCTGGCCATTGGCATCAACAGACTTCGCAAAGCTCTGACCATGGCCCCTGATTTGCGAATTGGTAAGAGCAAATCTGGTAGCCAACTGACTAGTCATTCAGTCGATGCATTTTTGTCGATGCTCTATGAGGGCATAGCAGAAACGTTGCCCGACAGGCGGGCATGATGTTTCACAGAATGAAGAGTCAGTTCTGAAGCAGTATGAACGAACGATTCACGAATGAACGGTTCACTGAGACTGATTTTGGATGGATGAATGAATGAATGCATCAATGAAAGAGTGAATGAATGAATGAATGACCGAATGAATGAATGAATGACTGAATGATTGACGAATGAATGACTGAATGAATGAATGAACGAATGAATGAATGAATGAATAAATGAATGAATGAAAGAAAGAATGAATGAATGAATGAATGAATGAAAAAATGAATGAATGAAAGAAAGAATTAATGAATGAATGAACGAACAATGAATGAAAGAATGAAAGAAAGAAAGAATGAATGAATGAATGAGTGAGTGAGTGATTGAATGAATGAATGAAGATTGAACTAATTATTATATAATAGATATGAATGAATGAATGAATGATTGAATGAATGAATGATTGAATGAATGAATGAACGAAGGAATGAACAACAAATGAATGAATGATTGAATGACTGATTGAAGGAATGACTGAATGAATGAATGACTGAGCTGACCACTGAATGATCTTTGTGTCTGAAAGGTTTGTTCGTCGTGGCCGAGCAGCTGCGAGCGATGATCCCGAGTGGGATGTGGAACCGGAGGATTGTGATCTTGAGGATCTTTCAAACTTTTTGGACCGTCCTGGCAAAGGATCAGTTTGGGAAAGCTTCGTGCCAAGCGACAAGAAAATCACAAAATATTTAGACCCAGGCACAGTCTCAGACCTTTACACGCAATATGAAGCCACAAGGGGCATGTTCGGTGCAACTGCTGTGTCGCATCCCACATGCATGTAAGATTGCTGTCCAAACTGTGTTTGGTAGTCACACTGATCCTACTTATACCTCTGAGTGAGTGCTGTGTTTGCTGAAGGTATTCCACCTTCCTGCGGATCTACAAGGAGAGGTGGCAGGACGTCTTGAAGTTCCGACAGAGGAGCATGTGCTTGGGCAGGACCATACGGGGAAAGGGAGGGGTCAAGGTCACTTGTCAACAGAAGAGTTGAGAATTGACCATTTACAGTTATGTGAGTCAGGTGAGAAGGTGTAGGGAAGGTCAAGCTGTGAAGTGTTCAGGCTGGGAAGCCTTCAGGCTGGGAAGCCTTCAGGCTGGGAAGCCTTGAGGCTGGGAAGCCTTCAATGTGATTCTCGTCTCACCGTCTGAGGTTTAGCCAATGTGAACCTTGCTTCCACTTCAAGAGTGACTTGAGCAACCCCTCGCTCACGATGGAGCAGAAGCTCGGCGTGTTGGTCGAGTACAGGCGGCACTTGGCATCACAGTACTCAGACAGGTGCATCGTTTGGAATCTCCAGGAGCTGGCCCTTGACCCCATGTCGGACATCATCGTCATGATGACCGACGGAATGGATCAAGCCAAATTTAGGCTACCTCGTGATCCAAAGTTGCGTGCGTCAGCTTCACTTAGCTCAGTGGTGCGCCCAAAGCTCACTGTACACGGCCTGCGGGTCTTCGGAGCCTTCTCCTTGCTTTAACCTGTTTTTTATTTTTTGGAGCCTGGAGTTTGTTGTGGCTTGGACTCTATTCTTATCAGGATACAGCCTTGAGATCCGAGTCTTTGATGACAACTTTCCTCACAACTCCACAGCTGTTGTGCAGTTGATCGCTGAAGGGTTGGAGCGAGTTTCCGAGATTTCGAGAGCTCGGAACCGCCGTATGCCCAGCAAGCTGATCATTGTAGGCGACAACACGGTGCGTGAATTGAAGAACCGCTTTGTACTATCATACATCAGCAATCTCCTTGCACAAAGGAAGATGCGGTTAGCTGGCTGTTTCTTTCTACGCAAGAGTCACACACATTGTCGTGTGGACCAGCTTTGGGGCGTGATCGCGCGTCGCATTATGCACACAGACACGCTCCTCAGCGCGGAGGAAACTGGATTCAACCTAATATATTTTAGTTCTAATTTAAAACACTTAAAGTTTACAATTGGTGTTTGCGAGTGTCTGCACTATCTTCATCGCCGTGGATCCAATTTGCATTTTCCTGCACAGGATACAGTTCAAACAATTCGAGCAGAACTTTCTCGACCAGGAGTTCGGGCTTGGCTGGGCTCGAGAACTGAATTGCATGTTTACAAGATGGACGTTGCTCGTGCGTGGCGCGACCATTGGAAGCCACAGGGCATCACCCTGACGGGCGGTTTACTTGAGGATGCCACGGGCATCCATGTCTTTCTGCTCATGCAAAGGAAAGGCCGGCCGGCTAGAACATCACATTGGGAACCAAACCACTTGAAATCAGTGATGAAGTTTACTGCAGGACTTACTAGAAGCCATATCATCCTTTCTCCAGTTCCCCCTGCTAAACTCAAGTCATTTACCTGTTACCCATTCTTCATTTCACATCCCCCCTTGAGACCTGCCAGAGCAGCTGGCTGGGAAGATCGATCCTGGCAGCTGGCGTGGCGTTCCATTGCCTGCTGACATCATTTGTTTGGCCAAGAAGTACATCTCAGACGGCGAGCTTTCTCAGCCTCCACTGGTGGTGCTGCCAGAAAGGAGATTTGGACTCATCAATTCCATCATCCCTGCAGCAAAGTCACTCCCTAGAAGTTTGGCAACGTCTAAATTTGAATAAATTTGCTGCTCAGAGTTCAGAGCACACGAGGGGTAATTGCAAGGGATAATTGTCACCCCTCTCTGGTCAATGCTCTCGACCTTTGCGGAAATTGTTCAGAGTTCACCGGTGATTTTTGATTTCTTGGGAACGAGGCACGGGAACAACCACACGGACGCCTTCAAACAGCAATGTTTCAAACTAGCGCTTCTCATCCATCAAGCGTACGGTCAGCCCTACGACAAGGCAGTCCAATACCTGAAGGACCCAGAGATCTCTTGCCAACATATGGGGATTATTGGGCACTTGTGCTTTTAAAACCCTTTGTGAACCTTCTTGCCTTCTTTACAATTTTTGTGTACTTGCCAGGATTTGGGAAACAATCGATTCTGGCGAGATGGCACGCTCAAAGACTTACCATGGCATCGTGCACCTGGTGAGCCTCTCATTGGGCAGCCTGAGCTGTCGCTCCATCAAAGCATCATAGATTCGCTGGCGCCAGCGATGCCACTGAAGGCAATCTTCTCGGGAATCCGACGGTGAGAAAATCCTGTGAAACTGTTGGGAGTGGGGTGGGTCATTTTTGGAACTTTGACATGTTGACTTAATCTTTGCAGCTGGGAAGCTTTATGACTGGACAACCAACATATGTCAGGCTGGGAAGCCAATCATGGTTGCTTGAACCCTGAACTTTTTGAATTGGCTGGGAAGTTCATCAACTGGGAGCTAATCAGTCATGTCATGATGGCAGGCAATCCACCTATAGGGGCATTCCAATCTTTCCTTGTTATCCATGGTCCATTTCCGCTCCTTCATCTCGTCATGGCGCCCGGCTTGGCGTCTAAGGCCGGAAACGTGGACAGCTTGGCTGAAGTGAAGGCAGGGCAGGGTCGGGTAGCAATTCATTGTCATTTTCATTTTCCTCAGAGGTGGTATATTTGGGAGGTAGAACACACCACATTCAATTCATTCCATTTTGACGGTTCAGTTTTTGGATTGCTAAAACCCTTCGTCAGTTGTGATTCTTGAAACTTCGACCAACAAGAATCAAGAACACTATATAATAATAGAATGGAACATCTTCAGCGCATGAGGGTCTGAAACCGGATTCATCGATGCACCTCAGGGTCTGAAACCGGATTCATCGATGCACCTCAGGGTCTGAAACCGGATTCATCGATGCACCTTAGGGTTTGAAACCGGATTCATCGATGCACCTCTGGGTCTGAAACCGGGTTCATCGATGCACCTGAGGGTTCGAAACCGGGTTCATCGATGCACCTGAGGGTTCGAAACCGGATTCATCGATGCACCTGGAGGCTCGAGGTGCGTTGATGACTTGCATCAGAGGCTCGACGGGAGATTTGGAGATTTGGACTCACTGATTCGTGATTCGTCCAAAAAAGTCCATTGATGAGCATGTCAATTTTTAGAAGAGTCATCAATGTACCCTGAGGCTCGAGGTCCATTGGAACCAGGTACTTTGGAGGGGGTGCGGTTGATGAAAATTATTGTTGTCATACGTGCTCATCAATGTCGTAGGTCCAGAACCAAGGGAGTCAATGCACCCTGAGGCTCGAGGTACATTGATGAACAAACATAGATTTTGAAGGTTCATCAATGTCGTTTTTTGGCTCAAGATTTGGGCCATTGGGTAGGGACTATCCGTGTGGCAGGGATTGCCCTGTGGCAGGGATTGTCACATCATCACGATGTCTCGAGCTTTGCCGCCTCCGGCGGAGGAGCCTTCTGCGCAATGCCGGCTCTTGCAGGGCCAGCTTGTGAAGTTGCAGAAGCCCGAAGAGGATGGTGAGAAGAAGGATGTGAAGGTGGAAAAAGCAGCAGGACCAGGGCCATCGCCTTCCAAAAAGATGGCAACCGAGATGGAAAAGAAGCTGAAGAACCTCCCTGGAGATACTACATTGCTCAAGGCTAGGATTTGCAGTGGTTAAATCAATACTGGGTTACCTTAAAACTTAACACATACATCATACAACTTTCAAACACCATCGTTTGACTTTTTCAGAGTTTGAACCTTTACACTGAAAGCGCTTTGGTGCAAATTCCTGAGGAGATCATCAATTCACTGCTGATGTTCACCGAAGATGGTGGTAATTTGGATTGCCTCCATCCTGCGCAACTCGTGCTGGACTGCTTGCGTGGTGAATCCAAAGACGCATACATGGACCAATTGCAAGGGTGGTATGATGCCTACTCGTCTGCACGGGGCATGGCAAGCAGAATCTTCAAACCCATTGACAAATGCGTGTGAATCTGAGTTTGTGCTGTGGTTGGTGCAGAGTCCAATTCGCGTTGCAAAAAACCTGGGTGATTTGTAATTAATCTGGTGGTTCACCAACAAACCGTGGACACTATAGGTGATTGATGCATCCGTCGTTGATGACACGCTCAAGCTTCCCTTGTGTGCTCTGAAGCTCCTGGGCAGATTTTTTGTTTACTCTCTCATTCATAATATTGCTTCCAATGTTCAATTCTCACTGATTTTTGTTGTAAGTTCAATGTCTCTGCTCTGTGAGGTTCGACCTGCCGGAAGACGGGTTTCCATCCATTCAAGATTGGATCCAATGCGCCACATCGATGTTGATTGATGGCCTTGATTTGCAGCGTGAGCCCCTGGATGTCAGCATCCAAGACTGTAGTGCCCCAGATGCAAATAGCGAAGTGGTTGGGCAATTCGTGGACTCGGGAAGTCATGATGCGTATATCATTTCTGCCCAAGCGTGAGGTTTCACTCAAACGCTAGGTTGCGCCGTCGCCTGCCATGAGACCTCACTTAGATAGACCGTGGGCTTGCTAATGAGTTAAGATAGTTATCTTATTTATTAGGTTGTTGTTAAAGAGTTATTTCAGATATTAACTCATTAGCTAACTAGTTAGCTAGCAAGTTAGCTAACTAGTTAGCTATTTCAACATGACGTTTTTGGTGTTGGCTGGGAGCGCTTTCAGCCACTGCTGTTGGTTGCGTTTATTGTGTGAAATGAGCAATGTCTTTTCAAAAGTTCTATAAAACAACAAAAATGGGTGCCATTGCAACATGAATCTGCAATGAGTTTTCTGCGCCCACAAAGGCTGAAAGCATATAAACTACATGGACCTGTAAGGGCCACAAAATAGAAACATTGTAAACAACATGGACCTGTAAGGATCTCATACATCAGCTTGTAATGGCTGTCATGAATTGGCTCTTGGCGTTAGCTTGTATTAGCTGCCATGAACAACATGGACCTGTAAGGTGTAAGGGTCTCATACATCAGCTTGTAATGGCTGTCATTGGCTCGTGGCATCAGCTTGTAATAGCTGCCATTAGTGCTGCGCTCACACAGTTCTTTTCACCTCCAGGCCAAGCGGATCAAGGTAGTGTAAGTTTCATCATTCACAGAATATGTCAGTGGTGTTAAAATTTGCTGCACATCCACAACTGCCAGGCCCTGTGTTCTTTTTCCATACACAAGACTTTTGTTCACTTAACATAAGACTGAACTGTGCCACTACAGACACACATTGCTCAGCATGTGACAAGTGAACATTCACCATTCCACATTTCCAATTGGGAGGCCCATGAAGTACAACATCACCCTTGCTCACAGTGCTGCCACGCACCAACTTCACTGTGTGGCCTGTACACACATCCACAGCAAAGGGCCAAATTAGCTGCCCAATGTGCAGAAGTGTCTTTGGCAAAGGTGATGCTTTCAAAAGGCCAGGGTCTTGGCGCAAACAAGCTGGACCACTCAAAGAATGAAACTCTTGGTTGATGACTTCACCCAGACCCCTCTTTCAAACATTTTGCGTTGTACATGCCCACAGCACGCCTGGACACATCTTTATGCTTCCTCTCTGCTGTAAAGCAAGAAGCTGTCACCCCATGCTCTTCCAAGCGGGCAGGAAAACGCAGGAGCCAGTGATGTTTCTTTATCATCCACTCCTGCCAGCCAGCAGCCATCCACGCAATACAAGTAGGCACATAGCTGCAGCAGGTAGAGCCACCTTTTCCACTGAATGTGTCAGAACTGGCTCCAAAGTCATCAATTCTGATGCAGTGGCATCGATCTTCTCACTCTTGCGATGTTTTTTCACTGGCGTACACTCATGGCCCTGTGTGGAGATCAAAACTGACCTAAAAGTTTGTAGCCAAACACTTGCTGGAAGTGATGCTGATTGGAAACATCTAGCAAGGATCTACATCTAATTCTTGGAAGGCTATGAAGCTTGCAAAGGCAAACGCAGCACAATCCTGCACAGGAAAAGGCCACACAAACCACCAAAGAAACAAAGAAACAATACTGGAGGCAGGGAACTGGAGAGAACTGGAGGAAGGGAACTGGCAGAAGGGAGCTGGAGGAAGGGAACCGGAAGCAGGGAACTGGAGGTAGGGAACTGGAGGAAGGAAACTGGAGGAAGGGAACTGGAAGAAGGGAACTGGAGGCAGGGAACTTGAGGAAGGGAACTGGACGAAGGAAACTGGAGGAAGGGAACTGGAAGCAGGGAAAGTGGAGGAAGGGAACTGGAAGCAGGGAACTGGAGGCAGGGAACTGGACGGGGAACTGGAGGCAGGGAACTGGAGGAAGGGAACTGGACGAAGGAAACTGGAGGAAGGGAACTGGAGGCAGGGAACTGGAGAAAGGGAACAGTTCGTGTTTGAGTTTTTAGTTATAAATGCAAATACTTGCAGTTCGTATTTGAGTTTAAAAATTTAAACTCAAATACTTACAGTTCGCATTTGAGTTTAAAATTTTAAACTCAAATGCTTACAGTTCGCATTTGAGTTTAAGCTTACAGTTCGTAAGTTTCCTTCCTCCAGTTCCCTACCTCCAGTTCCCTTCCTCCAGCTCCCTTCTGCCAGTTCCCTTCCTGCAGTTCGCTTCATCCAGTTCCCTTCCTCCAGTTCCCCACCTCCAGTTCCCTGCTTCCAGTTCCCTTCCTCCACCTCCCTTCTTCCAGTTCCCTTCTGTTAAACTGGAGCGGAGCGGAGTGCCACACTGGTCGACCACTAGAG